GCAACCAACTTCCCTTGAGGTTGCCTAATTACTGAAGTGTAATCTAATCAAATGTGTGTGAGATCTGGTCTCGGTATCGATCCAGGTGTTCTCTAAAGGTTTGTTCGTGAACAAACAGCATCTTGAAGATCAACATACACAGCAGACAGGTCAGGGATTGAGGTTCCAGATGTTTAAACTAGAGTTAGATTATGAAATATTATCCCAACTTTCAGACATATCAAGGTGGGTTGAAAAAATCCAGAATTTTGGAACCGTTCAAGAGGCAAAAACACCCAAAGTGGTTAGAAGAATCGCTTGTCAGGTTATGGACAGAAAATATGTGGAAGAACGTCCTTACTTCAGATAAGACGGAGCCGGTAAAAACCAGCCCCTTGTTCGTCAAAACGGTCTGGACATTCGGCTGTTGAGAAGCGCGAGCTGCCTGGAGGTGTGGACTCTGAGGGTTTAAATTTTACCCAGTCACTAACGTTAGTCCGCGATGTATGTAATGCGCCAATTTGACGTTATGAAGCTTACCGGAAATTACCTGCACCGTGAACAACCGTCCTCCGCTGTGAAGAGAGATGTGCCAATCTGAACGAGGCGGCTGTTGAAGTTAATTCAATATTTGGACTGAGTAGCTTCGTTCACTTCCTCCACTGCCATCACTAAAAGTCAAGTCAGTCAGTTTGTGAAAAGAATTAAGGGAATTCTCCATCAAAGAGTTCTTTAATTTCATATTGTGTTCCATTTTAGTTTTCATTGTCAAAGCTCAAAGCTGTGAGCAAAATTTAATTGAGGTGAGAAGTTCACTGAGTATTTTCTCCTTCTCTTTTCCACTGTATGTTGAGTCAGTGCTGACCTGCGTTTGAGGTGATGTGGTAATGTAGCGATTAGTTCCCTCCACCCCCCGGTTCTTTCCTTGCTTATCTGTCTTCAGTGTCTAAACATGTCTTCGCTCCTGTGTGTCACTGAATGACTTATCTGACACATTCTTGTCCTCACCGTTGGATCCCCGTGATGAACCCTGACTACGTGTCTGCACCCCCCCCTCCCAGCCCCCGGCTTCTGTCCCTTCTGCCGTGACTCATGGTGGCTACAGAGTTTCGCACAGTTTAGCCCGGCAGGCCACGGCGGGCCGCGTCCTCCTCACACCCACCCAGAAGACTTCCTCTCTGCTCGAGTCAGAAACGGGGGAAATTTGGCCCAGATGTGACTTCAAACAAAAGAAAAGCTGCAGGGATTGGAGGTGGGATCAGGCCCATCTTTCGCCTGACCCCGGGACCTGCTCCTTCCTGGCATCTGTCTATTTTTCTTCTCCACTGCATCTCTTCTGTGCTGAGCTCTTCAAAGTTGTTTTTTTCCGTTGCTCCTTTTATGGCTGGTAGAAGGACAAGGCTGTTTTTAACAAGTGCTGATCCGTCTGACTGGCCTTGCTGCTGAACATCATGCGCAGAAAGATTAAGAGACGATGTGATACAAGATCAGTGTCTCAAGGAACTTTGTTCTCCTTTGAACTATCCATCACGATGTGCATTGTTCTCTGGGTTTCCTCCCCCCTCTGCTTCCTCAACTCATACACTATGACAGTACAATGGACTTTGAGTAAGTAAGTGTTATAATTCACTCTAATGAAGGCCATTGTTATTGTTTGAGCTGCTGAGCTCAGCATGAGGTTTAGCACAGATTTGCCAACATGGTCATTTTTTAGCAATCTTGAAAGCTTGGAATGTGGCTCTGTGAAGCTATTAAGACTCAAAATGCTAACACCTGCGTCAGAGTTTCTGCACATTTTTCCAAAAGTTTCCACACACAAATGGCTTGTTTTGCTGCTTTTCTTATGACTCGGTGATATTTTAGTACAGAACATTTTAAACAAATTGGATTTTTGATGTCGTTTTGCGCAGTACATTATTGACAGCTGCTAGCGAGAAGCTAAAGTCTGCTAATGCTTCAGAAGCCATCAGAAAATGGTTACCACTCCAAATGCATTAATACTCACCATGGAAACTGTCTTAATATGTAAATTCTTCCTAATTCCTAACTGGACATGTCACAATAAACTTTGCTGGACGATGAATTGTTGCAGAAACTATTATGATAAACAACAATATTGTTATTTTGAGACCATTTTCAAATAAATACATTGATAATTGCAAAATAATGCAAGTTTGTGCTCTCAAAGGTCGATGAAGTTTAATTTTGTAAAGAACAAGTCACCCAGGAACTGGAAGATATTTAAATAAAGCCACCAAATAAAACATAAACCAAAACCAATAAATAAAATGGCAATAAAAACTAAATTCAACCAGAGCCATAAATAAAACAGATTATGAAGTCCAAACAAAATTGGCCTTTAAAAAAATTTAATTTTAATTTTTCTGCAACACACTGCAAAACAAACTCTTACCAAGTATTTTTGGTTTAGTTTCTAATGTAAATATCATAGTAAACTTGAAATGAGACAAAAACCAACAAGTTAATTATAAGTTTTATTGATGAAAAAGTACTAATCCTATTGGCAGATTATTTCTCTTACAACATGGGAAAATATCTTATTAGTGAAATAATCTGCCAATGGAACAAATACTTTTTCATCAAAATTAAGAAATTATTGACTTAAAGTTATTTATTGACATTTTGCAACGCAGGTTTAAAAATGACATAAGCAAAGGGCTTTAAATAGAGAAAACGGTCAGGAGAAAAGCTGAAAATAATCTTTACTTAGGAATAAACAACAACCTGAAAACCTTAAATGGAACAGCTTCCTTTGTATTACTTTGACTACAAACACATCAGAGAAACATTTCAGTTGAAAATATATTACATGGCAGTAATCTGATATACTAAACAGTGGGAGGACAAGGATGACATGGCAGCTCTGTTGGAGTGATTTTTTTTTTCTTTTTTTTTTTTGCCTCCCCACCCTCCCAGTTTGCCCTCCGTCTCTGCGCGGCCCCTCCCACCTCCTGCCATCCTGCTTCCCATCCCTCTCTCAGCAGAACTACAGGGACTTGCTTGTTAAGTCGGTGATTTTACAGCCTGGCATCAGCACAGGGCAGCATTCAGCGAGGAACGCGCGTTCGCTCCTCGATAAATTCACATCCGAGACCTTGCTTACTGCATGCACCGCCACATATGAAATGGCCCTGATTGAGTGCTGCTAGGCCTTTTGACAGCATCCCCATCAATTTTAGACTTTTTTTTTTTTATTAAAGCTACTGTATGCCCTGCTGATAAATCTTCTTGCCATGTGTCATATCGCATTTTGCTGTGCAGTCTTTCAAAATTATCTATGTCCTCTGAATGCTTTTACATTTTTTTTTTCATATTACAAACCACATACTAATAAATTGCATTGCCGCTTTGATAGTATTTTAATTATTTATTTTACAAAAAGAAAACATCTGTAATTGGAGCATGTATCTGTAATCATCCTTCATTTCAAAATTAGTAGAGCTCCATTTTTTTCCTGTCTTTCTGCAGGTCTACAGGCAGACTAGTTGGGTGTTGACTTATGTTCTCTCTGTGCTTCTTTCTCTCTTTTTTCCCTTTTAAACTTTTTCCTCCCTCTTTCCATGTTCCTGAAATAAATCCAAAGCAATTTCTAATAAAGCGCATACATTAAAAAATCAACTAAGTTTTCAATCAAAAGTGGCGGGTTTTTGACCAGCCTCAGTCAGACTGGATGGAGAATATCTCAAGTCTAGCCATTGATTCTCACACGGGTTTAGGTCTAGACTTTGACTGGGCCGTTCTAATGTAAAAGTAACTAACATGCCTTTTGCAGCTTCTAACATGTTTTATTTTGCCCTTTATTGATTCAAATGTCCTGGTCTCAATTTATTGACAATATAATCGCCTAAATGGACAAACACTACAAAAACACAAACTCTTGTCAAGTCTTTTTCTTGTGAAAATATCTTGGTACACTTGAAAGCAACTTTTGATTAAGACATAAGGGCTTGTTTTAAGTAAACAATTCTTTTGTATTGATAAAGAAGCACTAATTCCACTAGTAGATCATTTCACTTGTAACATGGGAAATATGTCATAAGTGAATTAATCTCTTTCTGTTATTAGCAAAAATGGATTTAAATCCAACATTGTTTGTTGTGAAAGAACAAATGATGCCCTGCTTAGTGTTGCACTTTAACAAATCCCAGTTAAAATATGTTGAACGTCGTCATTGTTTTGTTATAAAGTGTAGGTATAGTTTTTCATCTGTAGCCCTGATACATTTGAACAACTAAAGAAGGTGTGGATGGAATGTAGTTTGTCATGTTCATGTCAGAAGATGAGTTTTCTCATCTAAATTACATCACATCCTGTTTTAGTTGCTGTATTTCCTCTAGTTAAGAGACTTTGTGATCTTTAGAAACTGGTCCAGTGGTCAACCAGCTGACACTATAGGAAAGGGAAGCAAACAACAAAATCTCCTTAAACAACAACAAAAAAAGATATTACCACTGTAATTATAAGTAAATTCAACAAAAGAAAGAAGGAAAGCTGAGCTCTTCACATTTATAAGGAATTGAACTCAGAGCAGATAATGAACTTCTGACCAACACATGGAAACAGCGTTAATCCTTCATGTGCCACATTCCTGAGCAAACGTAATCAATAGTGTTCATTTCTGCCTCAAATGAAATCCTGATGTTTAAAATGAACAGACACAAACACTTAATTTGAAGGAAAACTGAGCTGCAGCTTTATTTGTAACATTGCCCGTACAGCTGGGTAAAAAGGCTCCAAGCTCCATGAGCAAAACACTCGGCGTGTTGTTGACTGACTCGTCTGGTCGGCTCTCCTCAGAGCCCCGCTGCGGCGTGAGCCGTATGTAGATTGATAATCGACAGGGGCAGACGTAATTACACCGCCTTGGAAATTAATGAATGCATTGATCGCCCACTCTAAACATAATCAGCATATTTTTCCTCAAAGCCTGGCGAATCTCGAGCGACGGGGCCCGATTACATCACCGCTCGCCGTGATACTGTGGTTTCCCACACTCGGGCTCCTGAAAAGGGTCTCGCCTAGACTTGCCGAGGGGAAGGGGGTTTTTAAACACTCATGCTGTTGGCACCTTTGAAGTGCCTCTCAGTGTCCAGATGTAAATTCATGCATGAGGGAGGAATGTGATAAGCTAATGATGTCTTCAGGGACCGGAGTGGATACAACCAGGGGGAGAAACATATCTGCATATCTAAGTGGATGGTTTTTTGTTTTTTTTTAAAGCTCATCTACTCTCCGTTAGAGTCTGGGGCCTGAGCAGGAGCAGATGGACGGAGCAGGCTTTGAAGTTCTCTGGGGTCATGGGTATCTGTAGTTTTATCATGCCGCACATGCGTGCCGAGTAAATATGCCACACCAAAACACAGGGCAAGGCAGTGGGAATTTCCACTTTGAGATCGGAGAGAGGGTGCATGTGGATGTTTTACTATTTTACTTTGCCTTTTTTCCTGTGAATAATTTTGTTCCAACATAGGACTAAATATGGGCAAAGTTTATAGGGATATATAAAATATTCTAATAACATGACATGAATTATGTGAATATTTCCTAAATAAAGTGCAAAATATTATTTGAAAGCAAATCAAAACAAAATTTGTTGAGGTAGATATCAGAAACTTTAATGCAAAAATAAAAACAATTAAAAGAGGGAATCTCAAACTAAAGAATCGACCTTTCCACGCTAGCATGGATCCAGTATTTATACCAATTTGGTGTCTGTTATTTATTTTTTGGATCATTCCAAATCCATACATCCTGCACACACCACCGTCATGCTCAGGCATGGTGATAGCAGCATTATGCTGTGGGGGTTATTTTTGTCAACATGGAAGCTGCTCAGGAATAACTAATGCAAAAATTCAAGGAGCCTAATCAGGATCTACTAGGATTTGGGCCCCTGAGCAAGAGCCGCATTGGGTGTCCTGTAGGTGCAGAAAAAAATATTTTACTAAAGGAAATTACTGCAAATTAATATATCAGTCCTATAAGCTGATAAATGGTAGTTTATATAGTGTAATATCATAAAATATTAAGAACTTGATTGGGTGTGAATACTTTTGCAATACAGTGCACAGCATGCAGTCATTAAAGCTTAAAGGAATGAACCAAACAGACACTTCATTAGAATAATAACTAGATTTTTTCTTTTTCTTTTTTTTTTTTTTTTAAACCTAAAGCCTAATACTATTCCAGCCTTTCACACGTAAATGCCGCTCAGCTATTTTGCTTGGCAACAATAAACACAATTAAATTAACGGGCCGTATAATGGCGCCGGTGTGTTTATCCTCACAGGGCCCCTCAGGTAGCTGTAATTTTTATTCTCATTTGCCTGCTTGAAAGAGACATTCCAGAATGCAGCAGCGGCCGGGAACGAAGTGCACCGCCGCAAAGCACGTCCATCAAAGGGAAAATAAAAATAGGCCGTTTCCTCTAAATTCACTCAATCAATAATGCATGCCGTGCAGAGAAGCTTGATTTATGAAGGAATTAAACGTTGTGGACTGGGGCTTCGCAACAGCCGTCCGTCCCAGAGACAAGGCAGACGAAATTGGACATGAAGGGAGGGGACATTTGGAACAACCGAATTGTCTCGTGACGGAGCTGACGAGTCGGGCCGTCGCGGCGCGTGCGCGAAATGACAGACGGCGGTTTAAACGGGAGCCTTGTTATTTGCTGCCAGTCTGGTGTTTGATTTATATGTTGAAACGGGTCACTAGAAGTCAAACATTAATATCGCTCGGGAACCGGAGGCACAGATGAAAGGGAAAATGTGCACCTGCTGACCCGTGTGGATCCTGTGACTCCTGTGTGCCTTTCTGACCTCGACCGCCAGACGGGGGGAAAACAAAGAACATGACAGGTTTAATTTTTTTTTTTTTTTTTAAGTAAAACTGGGGCCTTTGAATATGCTCGCCTTATGGCTTTCATGTCTTTTCTGCCTCAGTGGATATAAATTAAACAGAAACTGCAATAAGATTAAATGGCTTAAGCTGATGTACCTCTGAAATTTGATGCCTGAAATTGCATAATGGCCATAAACTACCGTGCTGCACGACTGAATCGTTTCTCCATAGCCTAAAACAGATAAAGTATATATACTTTCATCGTTCAGTTTTCAGGTCCGCGTTCAACTCAGATTAAGAGTCGGTATATTGTACTTTTAGAGGTAAGTTGGCTAATAAACGCTGAAAAGTGTGTAAGCCTGGCTAAGATGGGGATACTGTTTTAACTTCTGTTGCCAGAATTGGTCCCTTTCCACAACCTTCGAAGAGGTGTTGAGATTAAAATGTCTATCGAGCATCTGGTGAAAAGACAACTTCCATCAAACCCAGTAGTCTGTTTTAAAAAAAGAAAAGAAATGAAATACACCTCTCTGCCCAGGGTAATGTTCTGCCAGGGGGCGGCAATGTTCTGCCACTCTTATATTGTTGTTCTCTCTGTGTCGAGTCTTAAATACTCAACTAGCAGCTAAAGCCATGATTTTACACATTCACTCTCTTTACTCTCTCTTACTTTGTGCTGCTCTTATCACTCATTCAAAAATCTAAATGACTTAAACAACTGTTAATAAACTATACTTAATCTGAGTACCTTACTATTTTTTATTTTAAAAAGAGAAATGTTTGCATTACAAGATAGCGGTGGAAATACAGCATGAAGAGGCACAATCACAGAAAAATCTAACATTTATAAAGTTACTCTCTACAACAACAGATGAATGGGCAACACTACAGAGTCAAATTCATTCAGACACTGCACGGTGTGATGAAAAATGCTAATATTTTGATCAGAGTCATGCTAGCACCATTAAGTTTTTAAGCTATGTTAACTACCAGCAAATATTTGTCACTCTGATCCATAAATTATAAGATTAAGGCTGAAGCAGTAAATCCCCTGGGTGTTCCAAACAGAGCCGGGGTGTAACTTATAGTTTAATGTTTTTCCATTGGCTTCCTTAAACATTAGCATCTGCGGCCGCAGCCCTGTATGTTTTTAGAAGCTAAAAACGTCCATTTTATAGGTTACAGGTTAATTTTGGTTGCTTTTCCACTGCATTCTCTGTACGAGTAGAACCAGAGGGTGGAATGGAGGAGTAGAGGAGATGAAGAGTGCAACAGACACGCGGGACGTCTTAGGATTTGGACAGGTGAAGAAGAGGTTATCGGCTAGATAAGGCATGGAGTTATCGGCTTGTCACAGTTCAAAGTGACCCTGGTTGCATAACAGAACATAGACTGTTCCAACAAACAATTCACCGGACGACTGTCATCAGCGTTGAGGCTGTAATTACTTCCTGGTGTTTGACTCGCGCTGGGAACAATTGAAGTAATGACCGAGTCGAATGCGGACTCAATCAGTGGTTATTTTTGTTTCATTTCTAGATGCAAAGCCCAGCATAGCACATCATGTACTCATTTCAACGTTAAAGACGTTCAAACATGTTTGATTAGGGTCAAACGTTACAACCTCATCTCCACCTCTGAGTTTATCTTAGTTGGGGAAAAAAATGTAAAACTTTCATAATTTATTTCCCCATTTGTTTTTTAAACATTATTTTGAGTGCATGAGAGAGAGAAAAAGAGGGAAGTAGGGTTTTATATGTATTTCATGTTAGTGCTTGTGGCTAAGTGTGCTTTGCTCTAACGAATACGGCTGTGCATGTTTTAGTGGAATTACATTTGTCGCATGACGTCTGAAATGTTGACGTCCAACTACTGAAAATCAGCTGGGACTCCATGAACCATGACTGTAAATCCAACATGGCTGCCACAGTCGAGGAACATTGAAAGTTGGAGCTATTTGCACACACGCTATTAGACGACATCCATTTCCCATAAAATTCAGAGAAATATTTTGACGTTGGTTTGTAACGCTAATTCTATTGGAGCATCCTCTAGCTAGCAATTGTAATAGATTTAAGTTGGGAGTCGTATCACTCCGAGCTGCTTTCTTAAACCAGGCCTATAAACCACAGCAGTGACTTAAGTCCCATTTGCAGGTTATAATTATGAATTGGTGCTACTTTAAAACACTCTGTGTTCATTTTTGCTTCAATAAATGATCCAATGATGCTGGAAAAGACGATTGTTGTGGCCCATCACCGAGGCTGCAGCAGCACAGATGTACCCAATGCTGATGTTGGCGTCCACATTTCTAAAGAAGTATTTTTTTCAAAGAAGCTACATGGCTGATGAGGGAAACACTAGAAAGCTGAATAGATATAATAGCACTTTGCACCAATCTAATGGCTGAATAACCTTAACAGATTAAAAATATATATATATCTTTGTCATTGAGCTCATCTCTCCATTCGTTCAATAATTTGGCAGCAAAAAAAATTAAAATGTTAATTTTGTTAAATAGTTTGATTAAAATGTGATTAATTGTGATAAATTACAGACCGATTAAAGATTTTAATCGATTCTCATCATTAATAAAACAAATTAAACTTCATGTGATATGTTTTCTTTGTGGTCCTATAAAATACTTTGTGACGAGGAAAAAAAATGAGGGAGAGGAGACTGTGCTACTGCCCCTTTAAGCCCTTTCTAAATTCAGGCAGAGAGGATGTATTCAGTTTTCTTTGGGGGGCTGCGGGGGCACGGAGGAAGAGTCTGCCCATGGCCCGATTCATGCTATTATCACCACTGGATGTAGGGTTAGTGTTAAACATTAATGCTAAAAATCTTTGTTAAATTAGTCCTACTGTGAAGGTTGATCCAGATACCCGTGGAAAACTGAAAAAAACTCAAACGGGTTTAGCTTTTCACTGTTTAAGTCGATCAAATTACGAATTAAAACCAAACTTTCAAGCGAGTTTGAGCTAATCATAAAATATCCCCACACAGCGAACAGTGCAGCTGAAGGTTTTAGCCAACAAAATCCACTAATCCAAAGAAATAAAGGAATCTGCTGTGTGGTTATTGTTTTTTTTTTTCCCCACCGTGGATGTGACTCCAAGTCGAATGCCTGGATTTTGTGCATGAAGCGCAAATGAAAGCCGTGTTATCGCTGCGGGCTGAGGGGGAGGCTGGGCGAATAACGCGCAAGGATCAAGTCTGTTGAGAGGCAAACTATTTTGTGCAGTTTGAGGGGCGGCGGGGAGGATCTGTGGCTTAGAGCCATCACGGAGCTGCTGGAAGGAGAGGCATTCTTCACCGTGAGGAGGGGGCGGAGGGACGGAGGAGAGGAGAGGGAGAGCGAGAGGTGAGTGGAGCAGGCACGTCGCACTATCAACTGAATCCATCTTGGAAAACAGCTCGCAGGGAGTCCGAGCTCCGAGTTGCGCAGGCAGAAGAAGACTTGAGCCTCCCGACTTTTTCTTTTCTTTTTTTTTTTTTCCTTTTTCTTTTTTAAAAGAAAAAAAAAACGCACACGGACAGACGGACGCAGCTGGCCACCATGGCCCGTCGGAGCGGATCGGGAGAGTGTGTCCTCGCCGCGCGGAGACGGTGTGTGAGCGGGGAGCCGCGTTCCTCGGTCCCGGTGCGCCGCGGACTGTGCTGAGTGGAAGCGGCGGAGCTCTCACACACACACGCACACACACACGAACACCCGGTGAAAAAGTGCGGACGCACGGACGGAGAGAGCGCTCAGGAGACGGAGGGGGACCCATGCGGGATAAAAATGTTACGCTGTTCCGAGGAGTCGTCGGGTCCACGCCGCTGATGGGAACATTTTACGCACGGACACGCAGCGGGACCGCATGAAGGACAGAGGATCGGACAGAGGGCAAAAGTTAAATGCGGTTGCGGGGTTCGAGATGGACGCGGGGTCGCAAAAGGTACGGAGAATGTCTCATGTTAAAGCGGGAGAGAAATGGAAAGAAATGCATGTGTGGCTCTGGCCTAAATTACATTAGGATCGAAGACTTTTTCTATAATGTATGTGCAAACACACAAAACAACTCAACCTCTTTACAGTCATCGCATTATACACTTTTTCTTTAAATTAATTCCACATTTTTAGTTCATGTTAGTTGGATGCCGTGGATTACTGCGCTTTCCGTTTTATTTTCCTCCTTTTTGTGATTTAGAGGAGCTTTTCGCTCTCGATGCACTGCACGCTCTCCTGCCCCCTTCCTTTAGAAATAATTCATTCAGATGAACAGCCCTTTGAAGTATACCTGATCGCCTTCTTTTTAAACGCCCCTATCCATTTAAAAAGAAAAAAAAACTTTTTCTTTTTTCTTTTTTTTTTTTTTAAATTGCGTTTCAGGCGCTAAACCCACTCCTAATCGGATTGTCCTGGTCGCGTATCACCGCGTTCATCTGGTGGTGAGAAACTGTGCTCCCTCGACTGGAAATGAAATTAAAGAAAAGGAGAAAGAGGAGGGGGGGGGATTAAAAAAGAAAAGAAAGAGCACCCCCTGACGTGCTGATTCCTGTCTGCATTTGATATGAGAGAATTTTGGTGTTTTCCCGTAAACTTGTGCTGCTTTTTGAAGGTTATAATTTGGATTCTTAGTGGCGTTTGATTCACGCTGCCATAATAATCTTGACGCTGCTGCCTTCTGCTGTAGATTCAGCCGCATTTTATCGCCTCATGCGGTTGCTTATCCTTATCCACCCCCACCGCCACCACCACCCCTGAAGCTTATTTGATTAAATTTAGCTCTTTTCAATTTAGAAAAGTAGATCACAGATGTGTGTCAAAGGATTGTTCCTGTGTCTCTGTCTCCCATCTCCACAACAAGCAAAGGCAGGGTATACTTTTTATTTTTGTTAAAGCGTGGCTATATGTTTAATTGGGTTGTGTCGATAAAACCAGCTTAGATGATGATGGGTTCAGGAGAACGAGACAAGATGGTTTGGGAAACTAAGAATCCAGGTTTTGTTCCTGAAGGTTCTACTGACTGAACATTAAGGTCCTAGAAAACACAGAAAGTACTATAATTTTGCTTTCTCAAAAAGAATAAATCTAGCATAACTTTTGAGAAAAGCTGTGAAGCTAATGCTAACGTCAATGTTTTTAGCTAACAATTAGCTAAAAACATTGACTGTGTTCTGCGCTGCTTCCATATAATTTGTTTGTCAGTGTTTGTTTTTTTCAACTGAGCGTCCAAAATACGTCATAAGTGTTGCATGTTTTTTTTTTTTTTTTCAGTGAGTTATATGTAAGTTCACTCTTTAAAGCACTCACCTTATTCTTATGGAGCTTATAAGAATAGTCTATTCTTATAGGCCCTATCTAGGTATTGGTGGCATACTGTAAAACAGCATATATATATATATATATATACATATATATATATATATAAAATGTGAGATAATTTTCATAGCTAATTAGCTGTGTATTCTTTTGTTTTCATGTTTAACTAGGGGTAACATGGTGATTTATTCACTTTCTAATCTACTAACCCCATAAAAGAACCTGCAGCATATTTTTCCACTTTCATGTTTTATAATTGTTAGTGTTAAACAAAAACCGGGATCAGTCAATAAGACTTGATCAGTGCATCCATTGATCCATCGATCAGTTTTTTTTAAAAATAGATTTCACCCGTTATAGCTGCCAGATGTAATTAACATAAATTTTAATTGGTAAAAGCGTCCTACTGTCCTTTAACGCTGTCTGTTTTCCCAACCTGTCTCTTTCTGGCTGCTCCAAACCGAGCAGGAACCCTTCATCTACACTCATGGCCACTGCAGTGCTTAACATTCAACTCCTTGCTCCCACCACTGTGGCCGACTCAGGGAGGGGCTTCGGTCAAAGCTGAAAGCTGCAGATGACGACCACTATCTTTAAATCACGCAAAGATGGAAGAAGAGGTGTTTGATGGCTTATAAAAGTTGGAATAATGGATCCGGAGGGGTGGTAGTGGGGTGGGGGGGTACTCAGTATCTCTCCAATGCTAAGTTATAAGTCTGTATTGTTCATGCATTGCAGCTTGAAGGGGAATATGATTTTTCCAATCCCATTCCAGTTGGCAGGTCGTGTATGTCACTCCGATCCAGAGGGGGAGCCGACATGCAGTGTCTCTATTCCTCGACTGCCTCTGCTTCTCCCACTCCCCACCCACTCACCCCCAATGTCCCCGGCCTTAAATTTGCACGTCATTCCAGTCTGCGCTGGTAATAACAAGCTCCTCTGCGGGCCACCGGCAAAACAGTCGCCTCTGTTTACTGTAAGCAGTCGTGTTTACTCGTGCACCTCTCCGTGCAACGTCTGCTCAAGCAGCTGGAAATAAAGAGAAAATAATAACAATAAAAGCAGGTGCAGCTCTTATTTATCCGTTTTTACCCCCCTCCTTATGTTGTCTTCTTCTCACCAGGAACCGTCTTGTGCATCCATGTTGGCATTTAGAAAGCCGATGTCTTTATTAGCCTTATCTCTTTTTATCATGTTTTCCATTAAGCGGGCCCCGATGTTGCCGAGAAGCCCCCGTGAATCCATGAGTGAGTGTCCTTGCAGTGCTCTATTACCTCCTTTGATAGAGCGCGAGGGGAATAAAAGCGTTCTTTATGTCTGTGAGACCGGATGTGCAAGAGCTGTTCTGAATATTTATCAGACGACTTCTTTTTTTTTTCCCTATATAACATAGTCGGTGTATAATTCCAAACAATATGTGACCTGGGTTGTCTATTCAAGAGACAGGGACACATAGATGAAAAAGTGTGTTTGTATGTTAAATAAAGGTACATAAGGCTCGGAAGAAAAAATGAGGTCCCTATTTTTCAAGAACTAACCATTCCTTGTAAAAATAAAAACTTATCTAGCTTCCCTTCATTTTCCCACAGGTCGCTGGATCCAAATGCCGCCCCCTGCGGGCTCTGCGGTGGTCTGGGACCAGCAGTGTGTGACGGACAGGCGAGCAAAGCCTGTGGCGGCCTTCTCCTGCGTGTCTTCAAATTGGCCCTGGCTGAGCTCTTTGTGGAGCGGCGAGTGAAGGGTCCCGCCATTGTTTGACGTCTCAGCATGGATGGAGTCACCACCGCGAATGAGGCCGTTGCATTTCAGCTGAGGACTAGCATTTACGGGATTACTATCTTTGTTCCCAACTAACTGTAAATTGTTGCTAGACTCTCCTTTGGTGGACATTTTTGCAGGATCTGGGTTTTTTCTTTTTGTTTCTTTTTTTTGTGGATACGATACGTACAATTTATTGCCCTTTTTTTGGGGGGGGGGAAAATTTTTTTTTTTTTTTGGTTTTCCTTTTTTTGGTTTTCCACTATGGAGTTTCTTTCTGGACCGTGGAATAAAGATTGGGCGTCGTTTTTGCAGTTTTGGTTGACTGTCATCCTTAGCCTTCAAATGCAGTTCAGCCCAATTGCTTCTTGCCCCCAAGTGTGCCGTTGTGACAAAGAGTTTATATACTGCAACGAACGCAGCCTGACATCAGTGCCTCTGGGGATAGGGGAGGGCTACAGCATCCTCTTCCTACACAACAACCAGATCAACAATGCCGGCTTCCCTATGGAATTTCACAATCTAGAATCCATAGAAGTTGTTTATCTGTATGGCAACCAGCTGGATGAATTCCCCATAAATCTGCCCAAAAACACAAAAGTCCTGCATCTTCAGGAGAACAACATCCAAACAATCTCCAGAGCAGCCTTGGCTCAGCTGAGTAAACTTGAGGAATTGCACCTTGATGATAACTCCATCTCTACAGTGGGGGTGGAGGAAGGGGCCTTTAGGGAGGCGCAAAGCCTTAAGCTCCTTTTCCTTACCAAGAACCACTTAAGCAGTGTTCCTATTGGTCTTCCTGAGGACCTGAAGGAGCTGCGGTTGGATGAGAACCGCATAGCAGTTATTGCAGAGGAGGCCTTTCAGAATGTGACGCGCCTGCAGCGCCTCCTGCTGGACGGGAACCTACTGACGGACGAGGGCATAGCGCCAGGGACTTTCAGGGACCTGGGCTCTCTCCGAGAACTGGCTCTGGCTAGGAATTCCCTCACCTTTCCCCCACCCCTCTTACCCAGCCAGTCTCTGGTCAAGCTCAGTCTGCAGGAGAACCTGATCGACCAGATCCCTGTGGCGGCCTTTGCCGACCTAAACAGGCTAGAAAGACTGGATATTTCCTCCAACCATCTGCAGACTCTTACGCAAGGAGTGTTCGATGGCCTGTCGAGCCTGAAGCACCTTATGGTGCGCGGCAACCCCTGGCGTTGTGACTGCTCTGTCAAGTGGGTGGTGGTGTGGCTCAAGTCATTGCCGTCCTCCATCAACGCCAGGGGGTTTGTGTGTAGCAGTCCAGAGAAGGTGCGAGGCATGACAATCAGAGAGCTCACGCTGGATATTATTGAGTGCCCTATTTTCCCTGACCAAACGCCCTGGCCCACCCTCCGCTCCACACCCCCTCCTCCACCCACCACCGCCCCCATCACAACCATGATTTCCACCCTCATCACCACATCTAACCCTTATTACTTTGACTCCCCCTCTCCTCCCTTACCACCCATCCATAATAACCCCCCTGGGCCCCTTCCCCCCTATGAGGATCCCCTTCAGATCTCCTTCCATGTGGTCAACTCCACCAACATCGAGGTGAGCTGGGCGTCCTATTTCACCGTCACAGCTTACAAAGTCACTTGGGTCAAAAGTAGCCAAAGGCAAAACGAAGGGATGCGGGAGAGGACAGTGAGCGGGGATCGGCGCCACCTAAGCCTCACTGACCTCGAGCCCCGCTCGGTGTATCGGATCTGCGTTCACGTTCTGGACACCCTGAACTCCTACCGGCCAGGAGAGGATACTATCTGCTCCGACGCCAGGACCAAGGCGCCCACTTCCACTAAGCCTCCCGGGCGCGAGCAAGCCCCGCAGGACACCCTGAACTCCACGCTGCTCATGGCTGGGATTATAGGCGGAGCGGTCCTCATCATCCTGGTGACGCTGCTGGGCTTGTTCTGCTGGCACATGCACCGGAAGAGCCGGTCGTCCTCGACCAAGTGGAAATACAACCGCGGGCGGAGAAAAGACGACTACTGCGAGGCGGGAACTAAGAAGGACAACTCCATCCTGGAGATGACCGAGACCAGTTTCCAGATAGTGGCTCTGAACAATGAGCAGCTGCTCAAGGGAGACTTCCGGATCCAGCCCATTTACACGCCCAACGGGGGCATTGGATTTAGAGACTGTCACCTCAGCAACAACAGCATAGCCTACTGCAAGAGCAGCAACGTGCCCAGTACAGAGTTCTGCCACACGTGATGCAGTGCTCGGACGGACACGGACCAGAAACAACTGCTTAAATACACACTGTTTGTGTAGATGACATCTAAAAAAAAGAAAAATATACAAAAATTCTAGTGAAATATAACTGTACCATATATATTTCCAAGATCTGTCTACAATGTAATTTATACTGTGGATAATAATGTGGGATTCTCTGCTATCTTTTTTATTCTTAGAAAAAAAAGAGACACAAGTGGGTTTTTTTCTTCTTTATTTTTATTTTTTTTATAACCAGCAGGGTTTTGAAAGTCGTTTCAATGGTCAGTACTGTACATGAACATAGGTTTGTACAATCACGGCACCCTGGGTGTAGCTCCTAACAGACAAATACAGCGTCAGCCTCGGAAACGAACGGGCCGCTCCGGAGGGCTGGGATCCTTTGCTAACCACAGAAACAAAATATGACCTTTTCTGGTTATTATCCTCACAACTCCAAAAACGATTATTCCCTTCCACCCCAGTTACTCCCCGGTAAAACAGAGCAAGGGGAATCGAAGCACTGCTGATTAGTGTTGTAAAATATATATAATTATATATACATATATATATATTTTTTTTATCTAAGTGCACTTTCTTATTGACAGCAGCCAGGCAGGAAGTGAGCAGAGGTGATGGAACTGTGGATAGAGAATGTCAAACTTAAGTATTTGTTGAAATGTTCCCAAAAGTGCCACACGATAATAAAAAGCGTCTTTGTTCTGTTGCTTCACAGAGGAGGTTAGAGTAGTCTTAGTGCAGCTTTCAGCAGAAATAATTAATGTGGGCTTAGAAGCAACAAAGGATTGTTGTCTCTAATGAGGAGACTTGAAGCTCCTTTCTAATTGTAACGTGCTCTTATCCTGTCTTTTTCTTGGCCTAATCTTTTGGCCACAAGGGGGCAGGTTTTCCTTCAACTGTGTGTGTGGGACCAAGTAATGGTAGAGAGGCCAGAGAGATCGCTTTACCTCCATCGTTCTCCCCAGAGCCTTTTGCCCAGACAGCATTACTCACACTCAAGCAGCATAGTCATGCTCATCAAGCTACTTAATGACACGGAAGTGTTTAAAACTAACAGTGTTTTCAGTGTTTGGTGGCTAAATGATATGGATTTTCAGCTGCGGCATAAAGATTCCTCTGAGATTGGAGCAAGACAGAAAGAAAGAAAGAGGGGGGGAGTGATGAATCTGGAGACGGCTCACACATAATGCTAATTATACACCCACATATTTCATCCTTGTCCCGGCGTTTATTAGACATAGTGATGAATTAGAAAATGACTTTGAGATCACACCCCGCCCATGATCACGCCAAGCTCTTTGCCTAGCTCATCATTATTTATCTCTTTCCCTCCCCCCTCGCCAGGCGCCTTATTTCATTTTCAGGTTTGTCCGTCTCAAACGTTTGTACCTGCTCTCTTTAGGGCGGCAGTAGCTGTAAGGATGATTCACACTCTGTCCAACCTGATTTACCCTTCATTTCTAGGCTGCATGCTCTTGATCCCTGCATGGGCTCAATTAAAACTCTCTTCCTGCCCTTCGGCTCAGACGCTGTGGCAGCAGCAGCAGCAGCTCTTCAGCGTGTGAGAGGTCTCCATTTATGCACTTCTCAGGACTCTATTTGATCTGACACAATTTGATTTTAAGGCGGCCAAGCTTAAAGAATTCCCACCCACCTCTCTCCTCGTAATCCTACCAAAAAAGGAAGAAAAATATGTCAACCTTATTTTCACTTGGCCGCATGAAGCCCGCTCCAGATGAAACGGTCTTTAGCTCTTTGCGAGGCTCCACAGACGTCCGTGTTCCAGCGTGTTTTAGACGGTAGGAAACGTTGAGAGGGGAAAACGTTCCAGGGATTTTTTTCTTTTCCAAAGTCTCCAAATTAGTTGCGTTTGATTTTAATTCCAGCCATGATCACTTGTCATAAAGCGTCCCAAACCCTGCTGCTAAGCATAGAAACAGTAAATACACAGTAAGATGAAACTGTTTGACAATTGGCAAGTTATGACCGTCTTTCTATTTGTTTTTAAACTGAAGTTAATTTCTTAAGAGTGACGAGTCCATTTCCATCAGAAAGGATTAGATTTTTTAAAAACACCATATCAAGTTGTAACACCAGCAGCATTTAAAATCTAATTTAAAGTAGTTACTATGCAACCACCATTGTCAAAACAAAAAATTTAAAGATTACAACCTCACAATTTTCAAGTCGGAATTACAAGTCGGTTGCTTTTTTTTCATGACAAATTATTTGCTTTGACTGTTCGATTTTACAGTAACACGTCTCAAGAACACTTGATCATTTTTCCTGATAATCCGACCAAAAAACAGGAGAAAAATCTGCAGCGCTAATTTCCTACCGGATGCGTGAACCTCCCTCTAGAAGATTCACTTTATTTCTTGGAACAAATTTTAGGTGTAGGTGAACAATTGAAGCAGAAAAAAAATAACAGACTTGTTCCAGATCACAGAGATAATCGGTGGAAGTATTTATCCTCAGTTTTGCAAAGTTAGCTTCACTTGTCTGTAATTCCAGCAGCAGCACTGGTTATGTTTTTAGCAAATTATATTTTGCACATATCAAGTTATTTTCTGTGTCAGCCCTGGTAGATTTATATGTTAAATCAGATTTAAAGCCTGACGGGAAATGAAACAGACACCGTAAGAGAACAAAATTACAGAAGAGGAGTATCAACTTTGGAAAAGACAAAATGGGTCGGCTGGTTTCATTGTTTTATGGAAAAATCAATAATTGGTGAAAAAATCCTTTATTTTTACAGTGTAGCCGTCGAACCCTTTTTCTAAATACTAACTTTTTCCAATGTTTCCCCTGGAAAAGGTTTTTTGTTAATTGCATCACATCTTTGTTAACAATGTTCCAGTCGCAAATCATAAACCAGAAGCATTAGCCAATTGCTGTGTTGGTGGACCAGATTATAGTTTTAGCAGTACAAGCCAGTTAGATCATATTTTATGGCTCCAAACACCAAAAGGAACATTTTCACAAAAAATATACCTCACAGCAGATATTGATGTTGGAGCTGATATGATAAAATACAGCCAGTTACTGCAACTTTCACTGTTTTTCTGTCACATATTCAGTGGCAGCTGTTAAGGAAAACTAGCTTAGCGAGTCACAAATGTTAGAAATGGGCAAGAGGTTAAATTTGAAAAGAAAATTATTCTCTCTCGCTGATTTGTAGATAAATTAACAAGCTTGGCCTGAGCCAGGTCTTGCTGTTTTGTGTGTGTTTCGAGTTAAACCAACTGGCTGCTTACCATTCAGAAATAATGAGTTATTAGTTTGGTCATTAGTATGAGTGTGAGGTGTGTTATTTCAACTTTTCCTTTAAATATAACATAGTCAACGGTTCTGTATGAAATAAAATACCTAAAATCAAAAACTGTGAGGTAATCCATTCTAAAATCAAAATGGTGAATTCTTGCTATATTTCATTTTTCTTTGTATAACCTGCCTATTCAGCTACTTTTTCATAAACCCCAAGAAAAAAAGAAAGTAATCAATAAGGAAAATAGACATTTCTATGTTGTCTCCATACAAGTATCACAGGATATGACCCTCACTTGAACTAATTTTTAATTCCCTCTATCCTCAAACAAAATCTAGCAAAATAGTATCAAAGCACATGTTGGTTGTTGCTTTCATTGGCCAAAAATGTGGGAATTCTTAGGTTTGATATGTTAAAAGACTGTTTTAAAAAAAATCTAATTATTCAATGAACTCTTGTGATAACTTAGAGTAAAGTTGAAAAGTTTTTTTTTTTTTTTTCAGTAACTCAGTTCACAAAGTGAAACCCATTAAACATTAATTAAGGAAAACAACATTTTCAGATTTCAAGGTTCATAGTTCAGAAATGTGCCTCATACCTGCTTATAGCTTATTTTTAAAACGTACTTTTAATCTGACGAACGACCATCATTGGATGGATATTCTAATTTATTGAATATAGCTGGCATCTGGAGCCAAGGAAGGCAAAATAGTGTGATTCTAATATTAAAATGAATTTGTTTTAAGTATTAAAAAGGGGGGAAAAAAGCTATTTTCAAAATATGTCACTGTTGTCATAATTTAATATCCACTTTTAGCTCACCAACTACACTACAAAGAAAAAAAACATCTCTAGTTTATGGTTAAATAGAGGTATTTTACTGGAAATTAGAGATTTTCTTTCACAGGTATTTTTTTACAGTATTGCCTGCCTACCCAATTGATAGTTTGAGGTCACAAGTTTCTGCTACTGTTATTTTGTGGGCTGGAAGGTGAAAAGTTTGGGAATCGGTTCTCTGAGCAAATATTGTCCAAGTCGGACGCGATTAGATGGGTTTATCATTAACTTCTGTGGTTACCAAAGCCTCCCCGATTTTTATTTCACCATTTTTCTACTAATACCTACATATCAGCTCGCCCTGCTCACAATGTCCGACGACACCGACCGGATTTGTCCTGGGACTCGCCCCGCTGAGCACCTGACAGGTTTCCCCGTTTTTCGTCATCTAGGTGCCGTTCCTGCTGGACTCTCCCACGCAGTGACACGCTACCATGAACTTTTGTTTGTTCCCCCCACCCCCCGCCTTTTCAAAGACAGAAGCCCCATTTTAAAGCCACATGCTGGTCAAACAAGTCAGGTCAAAACATTGCCACATAGTATCTGCCCTGTCTGTGAATGTTTAACGGAGACTGATATTTGCCTTACCTTTATTTTGCTAGCTACAGAGAGCTAACGGGGTGAAAGATGGGAAGAGACATCAACAGGAAAAGCTGAAAGGAAAGCACATTTCTTACAGATCCCTAACAGGCAAACAAACTGTTAGCATCAAGCGAACTAGCTAACCGAAGACGGTTCATCCAACATTTTGTGCCAAAAAAAAAAAAAAAACTGAGCCTGAGCCTGGGCAGGCAGCGGTGGAGCTTTGGTTGTTTTGTGGTTTTCGTTTCTTTTAACGTGTCAGGACCAACAGCAAATCAGAAAACCTTCCTGAGGCTCACAGCGTTCCCTTTTTGTGTGTGCGAGAGCGCTGAGAAGCCAACAGGCACAATTTGGTCAGAAACCAGGGATGAAAAACAACAACAAAAAAGAGATGATTGGATTTTTGTTGTAAAATACAAATAAAATTAAGATACAAACTTTTACTTTTTTTGCCGCCCTCAGCAGATGATAGAAATCTGAATGTTTCTTTGTATCATACAAACAAACTCGCAGGCAAAGAGAGACACATCTGCAACCATTTTTATCTCAACAGTCGGGGTTTCTGCTACTTTTGTGTACCTCAAAGGAGTTATGCTGCTTTTTTTTTTTTTTTTTGGACCAGAAATAAAATACAGTTGAATAAAAGCATACGAAATAAACACATTTCTAAAGTTTTAAGGCGTCGAGAAAAAGATGATTGTTTTTGTCACATATTTTAGAGGCTGTGATGCGAGTGAAAGTGAGATGTAGAGCGTCAGAACACGAGAAAGCAAGCTAATTGTTTTTTTTTTGGGGGGGGGGTTTTTTTTTTTGGGCTTGTGCATGTTTGGTAAATGAATGTTCCCATCATAAAACAGTAATGACAAAAAATACATCACTTGATTATTTTAGTTTTAAAATGTGAAATATTCCATTTTGGGGGTCAAAAATGGATGAGTAGAAATTTGAATTTAGCTTTAAGAAATGTATTAGAGCTACAAGTTAAGTATGTTGGTTCTGCTCTTGGCAAATCAAATCTACTCTGTCATAGAAAATGAAACAAGTGAAAAATGATGGTTGAAATGATCAAATTTTCAGTGTAAAAAAGCAAACAATTTTATTTTTATTTTTTTATATTGGCGCTTGTGACCTTCGGAGGCACCGTGTCTGATGTCACAAATATATTTCACCACAATAATGAACAAGACCATACAAAGTGAAAACCTCTACAGTTTGAATACGTTTGGAGAACGACAATAATAGATTTAAAGAAAAAAAAAACCTCTGAAGCATTTTCTGCTGTAACTTCAGATATAGATGCTGTTTTTTTGTTTCCATTTACCAGTGAATTTTTATTATTTCATATATTTAAGACATATGTGTTCTTGTCCTTTGACCCCAAAAAGAGTGACTGCCTGCGTTTCAATTTAATATTCTATATTTAAAAATGCAAAAAAAAACCTTTTTTTTTTTTTTTTAGTTTTTCATTATTTCCAAAGACAAAATCCAAACATTAAGACACATGTGAACCTTTGTACCATTAGTTTTTACATGGTGGGGGGGGGGGGGAATATTTTAATTTTTTTTCCCTCAATTTTTAATCCACAAAAAAAAATCTGTATTTTAAATTGAACATTAATTAAAACCTCTCAATAATTTAGTTTTTAATTGCTGTTTCTGTGAAAATTCAACATCCAAAACATGGAGAGACTGTTCACATTAAAGCGTTTTTTTATTTTTTTTTTATTTTTTTTCTAATTCAGACAAACGCACAACTCTGGATTCATGTCATCTTTTCTTCATACTGACCAAACCTGTCCGTTAAACTATTAGTGGCATTCTTCAGTTCTTTTTGTTGTTTTGCATGTCCTGTATTTAGCTTCATAGCCTTTCATTTTGATCACACACCAGGTTTTGGACTGGCCTTCTTTTCCTCTCCGTCTCTCTGTTTAAGGAAATCCCCAGAGGTGGTTGCGCTGCAGTGTGAGCGAGCGTACGCAGAACGCTTCATGTGGTTTGGAGGACGCAGGCTGGAAAAAAAAAAAAAAAAGAAACTTTTTTTTTTTTGCAGTGCATGTAAAATGGCTACGTTCGGAATACCGGCTTCTCATTTAGACGCGGCAGTGTTACATTAGCCATCCACACCGAGACATTTTTAGGAACCAAAGTTTAATTTTTTATTTTTTTTTCTCATGATGAAATATTGATGTTGTTCCATGTATGTGCCTTGAGGTTGAACTTACAATGTAAAGTCCTTGAAACCTTTAAATGTTTTTGCACAAACTGTAAATACTTAAGTGAAGCTTTTTGAGAAATAAAAAGAGCCATTGGATTTAAACGAACACTTTTTTTTTTTTTCTCGTGAAGTCACCCGGCATTCTTGGTTTTACACAGAAGCTGGCTAAATTTATTCTGGGTCAGACAGTCGTAATTCTGGGTCAAAGATTTCTGGCTCTGCCCCCACCTGGCCCAGCTATATGGGAAGCGGCTGACATGGTAGCGTAGCCGCCGCGGCTCGGCAGTGAGCTGGGGGGGAAATCCAGGATTTGACTCGTATGGCACTAGTTTAATCCCAGAGTGAACTATTTCCCCTAAACTCTGGAGCCTCCGTCCCAGTTTGGAAACCCACATTAGCCCCAGTCCTAATTCACTCTGACAATTAACCGCAGCTGGAACACAAAAGGGCGTGTCACCCTGGTGTTTGGAGTGGGAAGTTTCTATGTTCCTTAAAAGCCCCCAGAACGTCAAAATGTGATTTGTTATTGCAGAAGTGAAGGTTTTATGTAGAGGCTAACCGGGTGAAATGAACTGTGGCTTTTGGCGCTGGCATCGGCCACCTTGTTGTTCTTCCCTCCTCCTGTTCCGTCCACTTCCATAAACGTTATGCCCTCGTCAAGATTTTTTTTTTTTTTTTTTTTTTACTAAACTTATGCTCCCAGCTTAAGCAGAGCTAATGTCATGAAGTTCCACTATGGGTTCTTTGTGATGTGGAAATCTTTGTTTTCTAAGAGAGAAAGAGAAAAAAAAAAAACTGCTTTAGGATTTGGTTTGACCCAAAATACAGTAACAGCTTTGGACGCCGCCGGGTCTAAAGAAGGAATGGACTGGATAAAACGTTAAAAGCGTGAATGTTAACGTATTTAGGCAGGAAAAACAAACCGTCGGCTGTACGACGATGCAAATGTTTCATTTTCATGCATCGCAACTCCCATTATTGTCAAAAGTCTTTTTAAAAATGTCGGCTTAGACATGGCAGCCCCAACAGAAATATCAGGTTTGACTTCCACACTTAGCGTGAGGATATGTGGGTAAAATATGTGCATAAGTAAACATCTTAAAGACAAATAAACATCTTGGAAAAAAATGTCAAATATGAATTTTTTTAAATAAATATCTGGATTTATATATAGAATATTCATGTACAGTTAAGCACAAAACCTTTCCTACAAAATGCATATTTACATCTGAAATTCTTTAAAAAAATGGTTTGTTAAATTATTTAGGTCTTTCTTTTGTATGAAACAAACCCTTTGATGGTTTATCTTTGGTGATGAGCTCCAAGTGTTTGATGTTGGGAAGCTTTTTGTCGTCACCATCTTTAGTCGCCTCCTCAGACTTTCAGATTAAAATCTGGTTTGGCCACCACCAAACGTTGCCTTAGAGAAGGAACATGGTGGTCAGATTAAAAGATTACATTAAACCGAAATATGTCAACAGCATTGGCAGACGTGGGGTTAGTTGCAAATATGCTGCAAAACGAAATCCTTCCACCTTGAATATTAAAAAGACTGAAGAAAAAAAACAACAACAAAAGAACCAGAAAGTAGCTTTTTTTATTGCATGTTGAAGATGTTTTATATTCACAATTCAAAAGTTTTAAGCAATCCCATTAAACCATTTCTAATTTCTGCAATCTGTGATTTGAAGGTATTTTGTTGTATGAAGCTAAAATCATTTTTTTCTAGTTTTTGTTACTGTTATCTGATCAGATGACTTTCAAATGCGTCATTCTTTGTTTTTATCATGACGTAGTGCTAAAAGCCTGTATGCTAATGTTGGCAGCTAATAATAAGCTGTTGTGCAATAAATCTACCTTCTCAGCAGCTGTATTAATTTTTACTTGTTTGTACATAAATTTTATATAAGAAGCTTCAAAGCAGCAGATTTCTAAACTGTTTGCACTTTTTAATTTTTTTACTCGATGGAAGTGAAAATAAGTGACGAGAAAAAGAACAGATGCTGGTAAAACTTCAGTTATATGAAGCCTGAGGAAAAAAAAAAAAACTTTACGCTGCTTCATTTATCAATGACTGAATAAAATCAAGTACAGTAGAGTCCAGGCTGAAAAATGATATTGAAAAATACTTTGGTTTTCAAAGTGCAATCGTTTGGAGTAGTTTTAAAAAAGTCCGTTTTAGCTTTTATATTTATATTTTAGCCATCTAAATAAATAATGTGGGTGTTTATTTTAGCTTTAAAGATGTTAAATTGAAAATATCTCATCGCTTCAGCTGTCTTGAGTTAATTGTAAAGGGAAAATTGAAAATTAAAAAATAGTTTGGATCGAGATGAACCAAATCCTGGCGGGTTGTTCTGACCAGCAGCAGCAGGATATTTGACACGACCTCAGCAACTCAAAACAGGTTCTCATGTAGAAACAAAATACAATTAAAACTCATTTGACTTTTGGTGGAACTGCTGCAAAAGTTTCGATCTTGTGTGGTTTTGGAAGCCAGACTTTCCTGCTCCATTAGGGCTTCGTCCCGACTCATTAAACAGAACCTGCTCTGACAGCCGTCCGCTCTGGGTAAGACTCGGCGCACAAAATTCATTTCTACAGGCCGACTTCAAAATAAATGTAAAAAAAATGAACAAATAAAACAGAACAATCTGCTTAACTCCTACATGGTGCATTTTTCAATCAAACGCCTGAACTTTTAGTCTGTACGTTGCTGTTATGAATATCGTTTTCTCTCTACCTCCAACAGACAAGCTGTACTTGAAACTCATTACTGAGTTTGGCCAGTTATGCAGACTCTTGCAGCCCGTTCATTTTCATTTTATTTTACTGAAAAAGTCTCTTCCCAGCACGGTTCGATTTCGACCATTTGTGATCGTTTACTTTCATCTTAAAGTAAACGGGTCGCCACCGTCCATATGGCGATGTGGAACGCAGTGGGAACCTCCTCTCTATTCTTTTTCTGATTCAGTCTGTGAACAGGTGGGTCGCTGGAAGTCTGCTTTCTTCTGTTTGTGCCAGAAGAGCTTTTAATTTCCTGCTTACTAAAAGCTCCTTTAACAGCTTCACTTTGTGATCCACATTTAAACAACTTCAAATCAGACTCAATATGGAGAAAATGTAATTAAGGGATGCAGTTTAAAGCAGGTATAACAGACGTTAA